GCCATCAAGAGAATTAGAGATTCCACATTTTTTAAAGGCTTTGACAATGATCTCGATCTTCCCACTGCCCCAAGCATTCTTTATCCACCCAGAAACTTCTCCAATTGATGGCTTCTTCAGTCGCCATCATCGCAAGGACGGATTGCATTTAAAAAAGAGGCTCATTTAAAATAGCATTGCGTGACAAAGGCAGCGTAGTGCATTTTTTTAGGGTAACTCAAATATTTGTCGAAACAATTAAATAATCAGTAGAAAATTATGATCAATTTAACTAATTATTTCAAAATAAACTTTGTCAATGCGAAATATGATTTATACCGAATGCCTATGAGAAACACTAACAACAAGCTCCAAGGTCTTTAAAGTTTAGTCCCTATACAAATTATAATCAGCGAATATACATTTTCTATATATGCCAACTTTTCTTAATGGGTGCATCTGTAAAAAAATGGAAAAATGTAAAATAACTAATATGAGATGTATTCACCCAATTTCGTTTAATGTGACCAAGGACTGGGAAAAAGAAGAATTTTCCCACAATGGCATGAGTTGAGCTAACGTTTGCATTGAATTTCACAGAGCCTTGCCTTCCCAAAAGTTGTTCTCATCCATGCACAACAACTTTTGGGAAAACAAGGCAATGTGAAATGCAATGGAAGCGTAAGCTGTATTCATATGATTGTGGGAAAATTGTACTACCAGTCCTTCATTACCTGAAATAAAATTGCAGGAATACATATCATTTAATCTTTTGCATATTATGTGGACTTCACATGAAGGCGTACGATCAGGGAACCTATAAAAACAAACAAAACAACCAACATCCTGAAGAGGAGCAACGAGTGCATGGAAATGAGTGGCTACCATTTATGGCTGGGGAGAGGCTTAAGAAGAAAGAGAGAGCGGGTGAGCAGAATGGCCTCGAGTCTGGTTAGGGCTAACAAACTTTGTTAGGGGGAACTTCATTTCGAATGAAAGTACATGATGAAGAGATTCGTTTGTCGTTCTTACCAGATG